GTACCTCCCACCCCACCCCCGCCCCCCTGTACCCCTCCCACCCCACCCCCCTGTACCCCTCCCACCCCCACCCCGTCCCCCCTGTACCCCTCCCACCCCCACCCCGTCCCCCCTGTACCCCCTCCTCCCCGCCCCCCTGTACCCTCCCACCCCCACCCCGCCCCCTCTGTACCCCCTCCCCCCTCTCCCTGTTCCCCCTCCTCCCCTCCTCATTGTATCATTTGTGGTCGTGGCCTGTTTTTTTTTGTTGGGGGTGGGGGTCGCCTCTTGAGTCAGAAAGTTTTGCGGGTTCAAGGACCCGCCGCGTCTGGGACTCGGGATTCACATCAGCGGCCCCTCCGAACCCGGCGCTGGGGGCCGCTGCGGGGGCGCCGTGCCTTCGGATGAGACGTTACATTAAACCCAAGGTTCAGGTGGATGTTAAAAGATCCCGTGGCACAATTCGACAAGAGAGAGGAGTTTCTCTCTCTCTCTCTCTCTCTCTCTCTCTCTCACCCCCCCCCCCTTCACACACACCCTCACACACACACACACACACACAGTGTCCCGGCCAACAATCTCCCCCCCAATAAAATTGGTCCCTCACTCCACGGCTGTTTGTGGGACACTTGCTGTGCGCAATGGGCTTCCTGGACTTCACTCACAAAATGCACAGTCACTCACTGACGCTTTACAGTATGTCCTGTGCAGCGCTTTGAGCCGATGCAGTGATTGGATAAATCAAAATGTAAGGATTATTGTATTGTTGTTCTAAAATAAATCCTCTTCCCAACCCAAACTGGAAGAGACGATGCCCCTTGGACCAGGGGCTGCTTCATTCGCGTGGGATGTGTTTTTTTTTTCGGGGCGCGGTCTGACAGATTGTGCAGAGTTTGCGTCAGGTCGGATCCGTTCTCTCTCGGGCCAGGTATTCCGTGAGTGCGACTGCGGTGGGAAAGGCTACCTCAGCGGGGAAGACCTGAAGATGGCCGTGGTGACGATCTTCGGCTACAAACCGTCCAAGGTAGTGAAGTGCTCAGCGCTGCGAAGGTCTGGGGCTCGGGAACCGCGAGAGCGAGATCCAAAACAATAAATAATAACAATAAATAATAACAATAAATAATAATAATAATACACACCTGTGTTCACCTGAGGGTGTGCTACGCTGGCAGTGGGCAGCAGGTGGCGCTGCTGCATCACCCGCAGACCTGCGTGGCAGGAAGAGCATCAACAGCGACCTGTATCCGTGGAGCGTCACCACATCCTTCACACCGGGTTGGGGTCTCGGGAGCCCTTAACGATTCACTTCAAGCCCGAGGTCTTCCAAGTTCACAAGCAGTTAATTGCTGCTTGTGAACGAACTCGCCTTGTCCCCCCCCTGCTCCCTCCGTCCACGTCAATAATCAGCGCCTTGGGGCGTCCTTCCGACGCGGAAGGTGCTCCGCGAATGTAAAGGCGCTACACGGGTAAAACCACGTAGCTCGCCACTGGACACGCTGTCCAGTAAAGCTTTCCTGCCGCTCATCCGGCCACTACCGTCCTCGCCGTCGGGGAAAATAATGCTCCAAAAAAGCACTTTGAATAAAATGATTAAAGCGGTTTGTTCCTGTGACTCCTACAGATGGAGACAGACAGGATGATGGCTCCAGCACTGGGAAAGCATTTGCCAGGTACCTGTAGCAAAACTAAATCTTGTAGCCGTCTTTTAAAAAGCAACACCAGCACAGACGCCAAGGGGAGAGCGGGCAGGGAATGGGGTTAGAGAGCTCCAGTGGGGGAGCGAGCCCCAGCATACGCTCGATGGTCAGAATGACCTGGGCTATGCCCTCCCAGTATTGGCCTAGAATGTCAGACTAGATTGAGCTCAAAATCCTACCATGAGCCCAGAGGTGGGAGTGTTGCCATCAGAGCCAAGATGACATTGGACGTTGTGTGTTTCGGTCTGCCTGTAAGTTGGATCTGTCTGTCTGTAGTGTGAGTGGGTGTGTACATTAGCTGGAGCAAGGCATATCATATGTATGTATATAAACTCCACCACTTTTTGTAGGACACTGCTGTGCGCAACTCATTGCCGTGTTTCGCCCCCAAAATACACAGTGACTACACTTCACAATATTTTCTGTGAAGCGCTATGAGACGTCTCAACAACATGATAAGGCGCTATTATCAAATGCAGTGATTACAATTATGATCAGCAAGCTTCTTGTTGCACTTGTTTGCACTTTTGTAAAGTGAATGATTGTTGTCCTACAGTCATTCCCTGTGCAGCCTAATTATCATGAAGTACGTCTGCGTCACTAATTTTTTACTCATTAGAAAATTCCGGAAGAAACTTAACAAACATTTTATTCAGATGATGTAAATTAATGTGCATATTCTTGCTTGAAATTCTGCTGTGCGTTTCTGAATACAGATTGCGCATATTTTACACTGGGCTGTGTAATAACTTGACTGCTCCTCAAGTGCAGCCTAGATTTGCCAGGACGTTAACAGGGCGGAGGGCTGCTGAGTGGGGTGAGGCAAATGAAGGATATCACTATCAAAAGCTGTGTGTGTACCCAAACATTGGCCAACTTTCCTCCTGACAGTTGCCTCCTCTTCCTGCCCCCTTTTCTGCTCTAGTCCTGAGCTCACAGACCGGGCTGACACTCATGTCTATTCACGAGATGTCACTGCGCGCAAACTGGGCTGCCGCGTTTCGCCCACAAAATACACAGTCGCTGGACTTAACGGTATAGTTCTGTGAAGCGCTTTGAGACGTATATCAAATGGAAGAATGAATATAATAATAATTATATAACGTTTGATAAAGCACCTTATCCCGCCTTTGAGACAGCCATGGAATGAGTGACCCATTTAGTTTTAATTTTGTGAGGCTTGTTGACCGGGGACACGGCGGGGTGGGGGGGTGGGGGAGAGAGAGAGAGATAAAAACTCCCTTCTCTTTTCAAATAGGGTTCTTTAACATCCACAGCATTTAACAGCACCTCCCAGCCTTGCACTGGAGCATCAGCTTAGACTGTGACTCCAAATCCCGACGTGGGGGCTTGGACCCACAACCTTCCGACTCGGAGGCGAGAGAGGGAGAGCACTACTGACTGCAACAGGCTGATTCACAATAATTATTCTATTATTATTAATAATAATAAGCACTGGTAAGAACCCGCCAATCTGATTGTATTCTCTATCCCATTCTCTATTCCTTTGATCAGGAATGTCGCTGGACCAATTTCTGAGTCTCATGAGCAGTAAAGTGGCGACACAGGATGGCTACGAACAGACCAGGCAGATCTTCACAGCCTTTGATGTACACTGTAGGTTTAGCACCTTGTCACACGGTGGCAACTTGCGTTAATATTTGTGCTGCTTTTATCGCGTGTGACAGCAGTAATTTAGCACCCGGGAGAGGAGAGGATAGCATCTCGGAAATGTAGTGTCTGTTTTAGCCATCGTCGATCTTTTCTGCTGGAAAAAGCCTCCTGGGTGGAAACATTTGGTAAAGACTGCAAGTCACCGGTGCCCGGCACAGTGCTGTGGTGTTTGGGGTGTCAGTGTGATCCTGCGGGACTTTCACGCTTTGCACGCTGTACGTGTGTGTGTGTGTGTGTGTGTGTACGTGTGTGTGTTTCCGGGTTTCTGCACACAGCCGTGGCAATAATAGTTCCTTGCATTTGATATAGCGCCTTATCATGTCGTCGAGTCGTCTCAAAGCACTTCACAGAATATACTTATAATAATAATAATCCCTCCAAAAAATATTAATAAGAAATTGGTCATTTTCAATCCACGGCTGTTTGTGGGACACTGCTGTCCGCAATTGGCTGCCTTGTTTCGCCCACAAATATACGGTCAATTCACTTTACAGCCTATTCTGTGAAGCGCTTTGAGACGTCGAGAAGACGTGAAAAGGCACTATATCAAATGCAAGGATTATTATTAAGTGTGGACTCGATGACCTCTTTTCTGTCACGTTTCTTTTTTTCTTCATGCGTAAGTTACTTTTTTCCTTCTACTCCCATTTTCAGGTCGCAGTTTCCTGTCGAGAGAGGACTTTAAGAGGGCATTTGCATCTGTCGCCCCCCACTTACCCGAGCAGACGGCGTTTGAAGCCTTCAGGTAGGGAGTCAGCGAGCTACTGAGAGCGATAACAGTGAGGAAATCTCCCACCGCCCTCAGTCTAAACTCTCCAATTCACCTCGATTTTGCTGGGCAAAGTAGAACATGGCAAAACTCACACAAGTCTTATCTTTATACACTGTATAATCGCCTAACAACAACAACAACGTCTTAATCACCTCCTAACTCAATCCACAGTGGGTCTGAGTGTGTAAGTGTGTGTGTGTGTCTGTTTGTGTGTGGTGGATTGAGTGGTCAAATTATTATTATTTGTTTTAAAAAAAATTGGAGGGATTATTACCCCGGGAAGCAATCCACTAATCGACTAACAACCGGGTTCCTACTGACTGCTAGGTAAACAGGGGTGTGTGCGTGTGTGTGGGTGTGTGTTGAGTAAGGAAAGTGTTTCGCCCTCCCCGGGAATTGAACCCGGGTCCTCTCACTTTGTGAGGCGAGTGCTCTAACCCCTGCGCTACAGGACTGCTCCTGTGCCAAACCCGCCCTGGGCTGCCCGATCGCTGCTCCCAGTACACTGTGCGCTTGTTCTCTGCGGTGGAAACCATCCACTCAGCATTCCAGCACAAGCCCTTAATGGGGCTGAAGCACCTCTTTGCTACAGAGGATCATTACCAGTCTGTGACCCTTCGCTTCTGAGGAGCGATCGCCAGACGCTTGAGGACAATTGAAAAAATCAGCAGGAGTGGATGGTTCCGGAATGGCTTTCCCAGCTCCGCCTCGTGTCCCGTGTCAATGCTGGTTCCAGTCCTTGCCGTCAATGTATTGTTTTTCACGATAAAAGTAACAATAGTAATAAGAATAATTCTTGCATTTGACATAGCACCCGATCACGTCATTGCCTTTCCCTCCCGACGTGAAAGGCGCTATACAAATGTCATTTTCTTCCTGTTGAGACGTCTCAAAGCACTTCACCGGAAAGTGGAGTGACTGCGTATTTTGTGGTCGAAACGCGGAGGCCGGTTTGCGCACAGCTGTGCCCCCACAAACATGCTGTGGAGTGATCGATTTTACTTGGGTGAGGGTGGGGGGGCCAGGACACCAGGAGAGAGAAACTCCCTTCTCGTTTTGAATTGGGCCAAGGGATCTTTAAGGTCCACCAGAACAGGCAGACGGGAATCTCGGTTTAATGTCTCATCTGAAGGACGGCACCTCTGACAATGCAGCCCCACTCCCACCCCACCCCCCAACTCTTGGTTGAAGCAGATTCCATAATAATAATATGTTCTAACACGGTTGTCTGGTGAGTTAACGTACGTTCCAACATACAGAGAAGTCGCCGGGAACACTCAGCAGGACAGGCAGCATCCATGGAGAAAGGAAAGTTTCCTCTCTCCATAGATGCTGCCTGATCTGCTGAGTGGTCCCAGCGACTTCTGTTTTTGTTTCAGATTTCCAGATTTTGGGGTGAGGGCTTCTAATGAAGGGAGAGGGTGTTCTTATGTAGGGGGGGGAGGGGGGTAGAGAGAGAGGGGGCTTTGCGATGCGAGATGAAACAAGACCAAGGTCTATCTAGTTCGCCTTTCTACCATCTTGGACGTGGTTCAACAATGGAGTTGTTGATAGCAATTAATTGTGTAGCGGTTAGTCCACAACAGACAGAAATGTTCCGAGGCAGACAACACTGTTCTGAACACTCACCTTACACATTGAGAGTATGAACCGAGAGCTCTTTGAGAGAGGAGGGGGGGAGTGTGTGCGGGGAGAGTGGGAGGTCTGCAGGGAGGGTGCGATTGTGTGCGGGGAGGGTAGGAGTGTGTGCGGGGAGGGTGGGAGTGTGTGGGGAGGGTGCGAGTGTATGCGGGGAGGGTGGGAGTGTGTGTGTGTGTGTGCGGGGAGGCTGGGAATGTGTGCGGGAAGAGTGGGTGTGTGTGTGTGTGCGGGGAGGCTGGGAGTGCGTGCGGGGAGGGTGGGAGTGTGTGTGTGCGGGGAGGGTCGGGGAGGTGGTGTGTGTGTGCGGGGAGGGTGGGAGTGTGTGTGTGTGTGCGGGGAGGGTGGGAGTGTGTGTGTGTGTGCGGGGAGGGTGGGAGTGTGTGTGTGTGTGGGGGGAGGGTGGGAGTGTGTGTGTGGGGGGGAGGGTGGGAGTGTGTGTGGTGGGGGGAGGGTGGGAGTGTGTGTGGGGGAGGGTGGGAGTGTGTGTGTGTGTGCGGGGAGGGTGGGAGTGGTGTGTGTGTGTGTGTGTGCGGGGAGGGTGGGAGTGTGTGTGCGGGGAGGGTGGGAGTGTGTGTGTGTGTGTGGGGAGGGTGGGAGTGTGTGTGTGCGGGGAGGGTGGGAGTGTGTGTGCGGGGAGGGTGGGAGTGTGTGTGCGGGGAGGGTGGGAGTGTGTGTGGGGGGGGGGGGGTGTGGGGGAGGGTGGGAGTGTGTGTGTGGGGAGGGTGGGAGTGTGTGTGTGGGGAGGGTGGGAGTGTGTGTGTGCGGGGAGGGTGGGAGTGTGTGTGTGTGGGGGGAGGGTGGCGGTGTGTGTGTGCGGGGAGGGTGGGAGTGTGTGTGTGTGTGCGGGGAGGGTGGGAGTGTGTGTGTGGGAGGGTGGGAGGTGTGTGTGTGTGGGGGGAGGGTGGGAGTGTGTGTGTGTGGGGGGAGGGTGGGAGTGTGTGTGTGTGGGGGGAGGGTGGGAGTGTGTGTGTGTGGGGGAGGGTGGGAGTGTGTGTGTGTGGGGGGAGGGTGGGAGTGTGTGTGTGTGGTGGGGGGGAGGGTGGGAGTGTGTGTGTGTGTGTGCGGGGAGGGTGGGAGTGTGTGTGTGTGTGCGGGGAGGGTGGGAGTGTGTGTGTGCGGGGAGGGTGGGAGTGTGTGTGCGGGGAGGGTGGGAGTGTGTGTGTGTGTGGGGGGAGGGTGGGAGTGTGTGTGTGTGTGTGTGCGGGGAGGGTGGGAGTGTGTGTGTGTGTGGGGGGAGGGTGGGAGTGTGTGGTGTGTGTGGCGGGGAGGGTGGGAGTGTGTGTGTGTGGGGGGAGTGTGTGTGTGTGTGTGGGGGAGGGTGGGAGTGTGTGTGTGTGGGGGGAGGGTGGGAGTGTGTGTGTGCGGGGAGGGTGGGAGTGTGTGGTGTGGTGTGTGGGGGAGGGTGGGAGTGTGTGGTGGGGGGAGGGTGGGAGTGTGTGTGCGGGGAGGGTGGGAGTGTGTGTGTGTGTGCGGGGAGGGTGGGAGTGTGTGTGCGGGGAGGGTGGGAGTGTGTGTGTGTGGGGGGAGGGTGGGAGGCCCGTACAGCGGTGGTCTACGCTGTATAATTCTGTGTGTGAAGACTCCGGTCCGTTTGCTGTGCGACGCTGGTTCGGGCTGTGTCGGGGCATCGCTGGGGCTCTGCTGCACATTAGATTAATGAATGTGTCTCGAACCGAATGGATGTGATATCCGCAGCTTTCTGTTGCCGGTTGCCGTGGCAACTCGAAGCACAGCGCCGGCTGCTGTCTTCTTCCCCAGCCCCCCCCCCCCCTCCATCTCTTAGCCCCTTTTCTATGGCCGTTTCTCCCCATCCCCCACCTCACCTCAAACCCCGACATCTGTTGGCTCATCAGTCTCTGATCAGCGGCTTTCAGTAATAGTAAATTAATAATAATCGGTGCCTTCGATGCAGCGCCTTATCACGTCTTTGGAACGTCTCAAAGCGCTTCACAGACTAAACTGTAAAGTCGAGTGAGTTCTTGTTTTGGGGAGGGATTATCACCTAACAACCGGTATTGACTAACAACCGGGTTCTGACTTTCTGCCAGGTAAACGGAGGTGCGTGGAGTAAGGAGACCCGCCCTGGGTTTCGCCCCCACCCCGGGAAACAAACCCGGGTCCTCTCGCCTGCGAGGCGAGCGCTCCGGCCGATACGCTACAGGACTCCGTAAAAAAAAATAACAAAATGCTTCTTCCATTTGATACGGCGCCTTTCATGTCAGGACATCTCAGAGCGCTTCACAGAGGACGTAGCGTTGCAACTGGGAAAAGAGAAGGGAGTTCCTCTGGAAGGAAAATTGTGTGTTGTGGGACATTGCTGTGTGTATATTGGCTGCCGTGTTTGCTTACACGTACACAGTCACAGTCACTACAACGTTTTGAAAGACGTGATCCTCACACTCGGCTTCAAATCTCTTCATGCCCTGGCACCTCCCTACCTCTCCCACCTGCCCAACCCACAACCCACTGCCGGTTCCAGCTTCCTGCTTGTCCCTCCTGCCCTCCGTTGTACCATCGGTGGCCACACTTTCAGCCACTAAGCCCCGAAACTCTGGAACTCTCTGCCTCTATCCCTCCACCGTGCCCCCTTCTCCCCTGTTTTTAGGTCAGGTCAGGTCAGGTCGCGCCTGAAGACATTCCTCTTCGGCCGTGCCTGTGGTCACTTCCCCCCATTCTCGAGTGCTCTGGGTTCTAACCCGTGTGAGGGATGCTATTAAAATGCAAGATGTCCCCTTCCTGAAGTCAAGACACAGGACTCACTCCATCACTTCATGCTCGAGTATATTTCTCTCTCGCGCGCTCTCTCTCTTTGTCTTTCCCTCCTCTCTCTCTCTCTCTCTCCTTCCTGGTGGCTTGGTCCCTATTGATATCAGGGTAATTAAAATTGCTTTGTGCTTCTGAAAGGCCAATCAACACCCTTGCAGTTTTATGGCTGGCGTATAGACACCGCGAGTCAATAAATCCTTTAAAGTGCTTTCTCTTGACACACAAGCCCACATCAAGGCTTGTAACTGAACCTCGATCTGTAAGTGTCGAGATCCTGAATAGACTGACATGGAGTGGTTGACGGCTTTCGTTAATAGGCTTATAATTGGCTGGTGCCCAGCCCTTTATTTTTCATGGCACTTTTTTTTCAGACGCTTTGAATGTTCTTTTATTCGCCGCAAACGCAGAGAACCTGAAGTGCACACATCAAAGCCACCTGTTACCCTAATTCCCAGCTGCTGTTGTAAAGCTTCCTTTCCCCCCCACCCACCACTTCACTTCTCCCTCTCTCTCTATCTCTCACACTCTCTCTCACACACACACTCACATACGCTCGCTTTCGCATCACGTCTTCGAGACGTCTCAAAAGCGCTTCACAGAATATACTGTAAAGTAGACGGACCGTGTATTTTGCGGGCGAAACGCGGCAGCCAATTGCGCACAGCAGCGTCCCCACAAACAGTCGTGGACTGAGCGACCATATTTGGGAGGACAAGTTTGCAGGGCGATGGGGAGAGAGCGGGGGAGTGGGATTGAATTGGACAGGTCTTTTCAAAGAGCCGGCACTGACACGATGGACCGAATGGCCTCCTTCTGTGCTGTATAATTCTGTGAGTTTTTTGGGTGGGGGGTTTATTACCCCTGGAAAGTGATCCACCAATCAACTGACAACCGGGTTCCTGGTAAACAGAGGCGTGTGGAGTAAGGAAACTTGCCTGAGGTGTGGCCCCGCCCGGGAATCGAACCCGGGGGGCCTCTCACTTGCGAGGCGAGCGCTCTAACCACTGAGCTATGGGACAACCTCAGTGTGTGATGAGTCAGCAGCGGAGCAGGAGCCATCGAGTTGCTTCATTCATTCATTCATTCATCCATTCTCAGCGCGATCGCAGGGCAGGGCCCCGGCTCATTCATTCATAAATGTGAATGAGATTGGCTTTGTTTACTACGGCTGCAGTTTTTCCAACGTTCGTTGTGTGGGGGTAGCCTTGCCGGCTTAGAGGAGGTGTTGCTATGGAGACGGAGAAAATGCTTAAATCATAAGGTCCTTCCCGCCTGGGTTCTTTCGCCGTTGTGTAAAGCGCTGAGGTTTGCCTCTGGAGGGTGTAATCTGCGACATTTGCTAATAGGTTTCTTAATAGGGAAATGTATAATTATTGAGCGTGGGGAAGTTGCATCCGTCAGCACATTCATTGATTCATAAATGCAAGGATTATTATTATTATAACTTACATAATAGCTCGTTTCTTATTGAGAAACCTCTATAAAGAAATATCACATGTTGGATCTCACTGCTCCCTGCAAAATACACCGTCAATTCACTTTACAGTGATCAGGCTCTAAATTAAATGCAAGGATTATTATTATTATATATTGTTGTATCAAACATTTTAGGCCTAATGATCCTCCAATTGACTAACAACCTGGTTCTGACTTACTGTTAGGTAAACAGAGGGGTGCGGAGTAAGGTTTTTGCACTGCCCGGGAATTGCTTGCGAGGCAAGTGCTGCATAACATCTAAACATCTTTCATGTTGGGAGGATGTCTCAAAGGGCTTAACATTCACCTGTAGACTATGAAATCAAAGTCCTGACATGATGGGGAGAGAAATGCTTGAACCCACAACCTTCTGTCTAAGACGAGCCAGTCTGGCACATCTGATCGTCCAAACCTTGCAGTCTTTACTGTGAATTTAGTTAGTCAGCCCCGTTCAGCAGATTGCAACCGTTACTCAGTGCTGTTCTCCAACAAATAGCCTTGGTTGGCCCTGTGGTTATCTCAGCCCCCAGTATTTACACACCAATTAGCCCAGCGCTGCTTAACAAGTTCTGTCGCTGGCCTTCTGCCAAAGAATAAAGATCTTTAACAGTGCCTTTCACACTGAATGGCTCCTATGTGCAATGTTCCATTGGCTGCTGAGGCCACAGAACTTCATCCTCTCACTCAATAGTCCATAATCCTCCCCCCCCCCCCCCCCTCCTCACCACCATCCGCAACGGTGTAATGCTTTACAGCGCTTGCGTTTACCTGAGGTCACTGAAGATCCTCACACACTGAGCTCTCGAGGCAATAGTCAAACTATTGACTAGGTCTCAGTGGGAAAGGAGGATTAGGTCACTGTGGCAGTGCAACCCCGTCCCATTCCACTCGCCGTCTGACCCTTCAAATGGTTTTGTATGTACAGACACTGAGGGAGGCAGAAAGCATGAGATTGACGCTGTAGTCTTGTAATGTAGTGGTTAGAGAGCTCGCTTCGCAAGCGAAAAGGGCACGGGTTTGATTCCCAGGCAGGGAGAAACCTTAGGCAAGTTTCCTTACTCCGCACACCTCTGTTTACCCAGCAGTAACTAGGATCAACAACAACAACAACAACTTGCACTTATATAGTGCAGGATAGCTTCTCAGAGGTTGATTGTTAGTCGATTAGTGGATCACTTTCCGGGGTAATAATCCCATCAACAACAAAAGATAATTTGGTCAATCAGTCCACGACTGTTTGTGAGACAGTGCTGTCCATGTTTCACCCACAAAATATACAGTCAATTCACTTTACAGTGTATTCTGTGAAGCGCTTTGAGACGTCTCAACGACGTGATAAGGCTCTGTATCAAATGCAAGGATTATTATTTTCATAGAAGGTGTGAACGAAAATTGGTGGTGTGGTGGAGAGGGAGGTGACCGTAAGAACGATCAAAAAAGGAAGGTCTTTGGGAGGTATTTGATGGTGGGGAGGGAGGGGACAAGGCGGAGGGAATGAGGGAGAGAGTTCCAGAGTTTTGGGGTGTTGTGGCTGAAGTCATGGAAGGAACAAGGGACGAGCAGGAGGCCAGAGCCAGCCAAGCGGAGGCAGCGGGTGGTGAGCAGGTCGGAGAGGTAGGGAGGTGCGAGGGTATAAAGGATTTAAAAACGAGTGAGGGGATCGAGGCTGGATTGCAAAATCCCAACTGTGTTGGATCTGCCCCTGAAAGACTGCGTTCGGCCACTGATCACAGCTCTGGCTTTCAAAATGCCAGCGCCCAACAGCAGGTTCAGGGGGATTGGGCAATTCATCTGGTCTCCTCTTCCGCCATTCTCCGTTCTCCCCCTTTCTCTAGATCTCCCTTGCATTCGCTCTCATTTTCTCTTGGACTGCTGCTTTCTAATCTGCTCTCTCTCTTCTCATTCCCTTCCTCTCGCTCGCACCTTCGCTTTCTTTCTCACTTTCTCTTTCTCTCTCTCAGTCCCTCGCTCTCTTGTTTTCTCTCCCTCTCAGTCACTTGCTTGTTCTCTCCCTTTATCTCTCTCTTTCTCTATGCCTTTCTCTATTTCTTTCTCCCTCTCTGTCACTCTCTCTCTCTTCTCTCCCTTTATCGCTCTCTTTCTCTATTTCTCCCTCGTGCTCACGCTCTCAGTCTCTCTCTCTCTCTCTCTCTCTCTCGCTCTCGTGTGCTCAGTCTCCTGCTCTGGCTCTGACACTTTGCTCAGTCAGTCTGACAGCTTCACATCGCCACTGACAGCAGCAGCAGAACCAGGGGAAGCAAGCACTGCAGTCTCAGCGTGAGGCTGGGGCAAAGGTGGAATCACGGCCTTTTGTGTTAAACTGTGACTCTCGGGTGAAACGCTTAGATCTTGTGAATTCAATTACCTCTGCTGTGTTTTTTTTAAAATCGCTTGTCAGGAATCACAGGGGTTATCTTGAGAAGAAAAGAGGTGCTCAGTTGGCACAAACACTGATGTCCGTATGGGAAGAGCTGCGACAAGATACTTCTAGCTGGACGATTCAAGATTTCTTTTGAGTGCAAAGCACTAATACTCCTTGCAATTTGACACAACGCCTTTCACGTCGGGAGGACGTCTCAAAGTGCTTCACAGGACTTACTGTAAAGTGTAGTGACTGGTGTATTTTGAACACTTGCACACGGGTAATGTCCCACAAACAGTCGTGGAGTGTGAGCGACCAATTTTATTTGGGGGGATTGTTGGCCAGGACACCCGGAGAGAGAAACTCCCCTCTCTTTTCGAATAGTGCCGCAAACTCATTAATGTCCACCTGAACAGGTGAATCATTTTGAGACGTCTCGACGAAGCGATAAGGCATGATATTGAACGCAGGGATTGTTAGTATTATTTTGCTACCTGTCCCTTGCAAATCAATCTTGTTCTGGGCTATTCTTGTCTTAAAATTTTTATCTGTATTTTCGTGTGTGTGGGCTGGTATGTTAGCATGTGTGTGCCTGTATTTTTTGTGCGTGTGTTCATGGTTTGTTAACAACAACAAACAACAAAATTAAATTTGTATAGTGCCTTAGGGATGGGGCGCTATATAAATGCAAGTTGTTGTTATTGTGTGCGTCTCTCTCTCTCTCTCTCTGCCTTCCTTATTTGTTTCATTGTTGTACAACTTTCTGTTTTATAGAGAATTGGACTGGGATTCAGATGGACGTGTCAGTTACAAGGACTTTGAGACAGTGATGAGTTATGTGTAAGACATTCAGGAACCAGGGATTAAGAAAAAGTCATTCAGCCTCTCTCCTCACACCGTATCTCCTCTGCCATGGACACAGGTGACTTTATATCAACCTCCTGTATGAGAAAGTTCTCCACAACTCTTTATGTCTCTAAGATGTGACAAGGCGCTATAAGAATTATTTGTATTGTCATTGTTAATTTATTAGAATGCTGAATATTGAATAAACGTGATTTATTTTGATTCAGCTCCATCCGTTGGGGGGGTGATTTGCAATGTTCACGTTCCATAGATCATGATCCCCCGTATCGAGGGTCAGCCTGGCTTTTGCCTCTGAGTCAGGAGATTGTGGGTTCAAACCCCACTTTGGGGACATTGAACTCACATAGTCTAAGATGACGTTCCAATGCAGTGCGGTGGGTCTCCTGCATTGTTGGAGGTGCTGTCCTTCGAATCAGACGTTAAACCGAGGTCCCGTCTGCCTCTTTTTGTGCTGTACGATTCTATGATTCTATGAAACTGCCTGCCCCCTTTCGCTAACAGAACACACAGTCACTACATTTTACAGTACAATCCTGTGAAGCACTTTGAGACGTCCTTCAGAGGTGAAAGGTGCTGTATCTAACTGCAAGCATTATTCTTATGACAGTAAACCTTACGTAAGTGGTATCATTTAATATGACTTATGCAAAGTATGAGTTTTTGCAAAACTTATAAATAATAGGAAACTCAACCTGGGCAGATTTAGGTATGACTTAGGTGATCATATGATTAATACAGATCGGACTTATGAGAGTTTTATTGTCATTACTGTCGCTTGTTGTTGCTACATTTTACTTTCCTACCTCCCCACTGGCCTTATATTCCTACTGCCAGTACTCATACCTACCAAACAATCCTAGCAACTGATTTCAAGCTGAGAAAATTACAAAGACCTACCTGTAGGTTTTTCCTATAGAAAATAACAAATTGGGAGTGAGTTACAATTGTGCAATTGGCTACTGGGTTTCGGGCATAAAATATACAATCACTGCATTTTACAGTATATTCTGTGAAGAGCTTTGAGATGTCTCAAAGACGTAATAAGGTGCTATATCAAATGTAAGGATTATTATTATTGTTATTATTACAAAGCAGTAATTCCATTGTGCACTCAGAGAGAAAGAGCTGGGGGGGTGTTCAGATGATATTCTGTTGCTGAGGGCACCATCTGAGCCACTTTGATGGATTACCCCTTCATAACTCACTTTCCGATATCTATTATTCTACACTTAATAGACTTCAGAGGCTGGGCTGGAGGTGCTGGTGAAAGCAGCGTCTTTTCAGAAGGGTTACTCTGTGCATTACAGATTGGAATTATCCCCAAAGGGAAACAAAAAAGCATGTGGTGGGTTTCACAATGAGGGTCTGAATTGTGTGATTTCTTAATCAATCACTTGTCAAATTCCTAAAAAAAAACAATTGTGCCGAACGCTTTCGTTCTTAATATTTCAAGATTTAACAATCTCCCAGTACTTCCCCGCCCCCCCCCCCTGCACCTCAGCAGTGCATTAGAACATTAACATAGACGATTGGTCGTCAAACCCATGGCCGTAGGGGCAAAAGTGGCCCCGGGGGGGAGTGGGTGAGGGGCAAGAAGTGGCCTGCCGAACATCAGACCAAGCTTAAGTAAGTCTTTATTATAGCAATGTTTTGTTTCCCGTACTTGTTGAGTAGCGATAATTAAGGTGTGGCCATGAATCAAGCAATATTCAATCAAGAAGATTTTATTTGGTTAAAATGGTTGGCAAGCACTGGCCGAGACTATGAACTCCCAAGATCTGATGTGAGGTTTGAAGCCACAACCCGCCTTATTTGACAGGCTTCTCCACTTCGCCTCCCTGTAAAAGATTTGAGAAAATCAAGCTCAGTTTAAGATAAACCCTGTTAGTTTCCCACCAGCACCTATCATATCGATGGCAAGCTTTGTGGTTTCAGCTGGTTAGACGCCAGCAGTAACCCCAACGCACTCTCTGGGCTCCCCAAGCCTTAGCTCTTGCCAACATCATAGAATCATAGAATTATACAGCGCAGAAGGAGGCCATTTGGCCCATCGTTTCTGTGCCAGCTCTTTGAAAAGAGCTTTCCAAATCAGTCCCATTCGCCCACTCTGTCCCCATAGCCATGCAAACTTGTCCTCCCCAAATAATTATCTTAATTATCTCTCTTAAAAGTTGTGCTGTGTGCAATTGGCTACCGTGTTTCGCCCACAAATATATGGTCAATTCACAGTATATTCTGTGAATCGCATTAAGACGTCTAGAAGACATGAAAAGTGCTATACCAAGTGCAAGGATTATTATTAATAATATATACAGAGGTTCTCTATTAATATCAGACAATATAGTGGTGCTCACTGTTAATATCAAACTATATAGAGGTGCTCACTGTTAATATCAGACTACATAGAGGTTCTCACTGTTAATATCAGACTATATAGAGGTTCTCACCGTTAATATCAGGCGATATAGAGGTTCTCAGCGTTAATATCAGACTATATAGAGGTGCTCACTGTTAATATCAGACTATATCCACATCCCCCGCCCCAACCGCCCTACCATCGGTGGTCGGGCCTTCAGCCTCTCAGCCCCGAGGCTCTGGAACTCTATCCCCCAGTGCCTTCGCCGCTTCCTCCCTCTCCTCCTTCAAGGCCGGTCTCAAAACCTTTCTCTTTGACCGAGCCTTCAGCTCCCCTCTCGACTCTCTTCCCCCTCCTCGATCCCTCCCTTCCCTCCCCTCACCCTGACCATTTCCCCCTCCTCGCTCCATCCCTTCCCTCCCCTCACCCTGATCATTTCCCTCTCCTCGCTCCCTCCCCTCACCCTGACCATTTCCCCCCTGCTCGGGTCATGACCCAACTGTGCAGCGCCTTGGGACGTCCTCCTGACGTGAAAGGCGCTTTATAAATAGAATCTTGTTGTTGTTGTTATATAGAGGTGTCACTGTTAATATCAGACTATATAGAGGTTCTCACTGTTAATATCAGACTATATAGTAATAATCCTTGCATTTGATATAGCGCTTTTCAAGTCGGGAGGACGTCCCAAAGCGCTTCACAGAACACACTGTAAAGTGAAGTGACTATATTTGTGGGCGAACGCGGCAGCCAATTGCGCACAGCAATGTCCCACAAACAGTCGTGGATTGAAAATGACCAATTTATTATTGTTTTTGGAGGGATTATTATTAGGCTCTGTGTGGAGTAAGGAAACTTGCCCAAGGTTTCATCCTCTGCCTGGAATTGAACCCAGGTGTCTCGCTTGCAAAGCGAGTGCTCTAACCACTGAGCTACAGGAATCCACAGAGGTGTCACTGTTAATATCAGACTATATAGAGGTACACACTGTTAATATCAGACTATATAGAGGTGCTCACTGTTAATATCAGACTATATAGAGGTGCTCACTGTTAATATCAGACTACATAGAGGTTCTCACTGTTAATATCAGCTTATATAGTGGTGCTCACTGTTAATATCGGACTATATAGACGTGTCACTGTAATATCAGACTATATGGAGGTGCTCACTGTTAATATCAGACTACATACAATGTTAATATCAGACTATATAGAGGTTCTCACCGTTAATATCAGACTATATAAAGGTGCTCACTGTTAATATCAGACTATATACAGTTTCTCACTGTTAATATCAGACTATATTGAGGTGCTCTCTGTTAATATCAGACTTCATAGAGGTTCTCACCGTTAATATCAGACTATATACAGTTTCTCACTGTTAATATCAGACTATATTGAGGTGCTCTCTGTTAATATCAGACTTCATAGAGGTTCTCACCGTTAATATCAGACTATATAAAGGTGCTCACTGTTAATATCAGACTATATAGAGGTGCTCACTGTTAATATCAGACTATATAGAGGTGCTCACTGTTAATATCAGACTATATAATGCTCTCACGGTTAATATCAGACTATATAGAGGTGCTCACTGTTAATATCAGACTATGTAGAGGTGCTCACTGTTAATATCAGTCTATATAGACGTGTCACTAATATCAGACTATATAGAGGTGCTCACTGTTAATATCAGACTACATACAATGTTAATATCAGACTATATAGAGGTTCTCATCGTTAATATCAGACTATATACAGTTTCTCACTGTTAATATCAGACTATATTGAGGTGCTCTCTGTTAATATCAGACTTCATAGAGGTTCTCACCGTTAATATCAGACTATATAAAGGTGCTCATTGTTAATATCAGACTATATAGACGTGTCACTGTTAATATCAGACTATATAGAGGTGTCACTGTTAATATCAGACTATATAGAGGTTCTCACTGTTAATATCAGACTATATAGAGATGCTCACTGTTAATATCAGACTATATTGATGTGTCACTGTTAATATCAGACTGTATAGAGAGGTGTCACTGTTAATATCAGACTCTATAGAGGTGTCCTTTCAGGCAACACATTCCAGATCTGAACAACTCGCTGTGTGAAAAACTTTCTTCTTGCCTCCCCTCTGTTTCTTTTAACAACTATTTTAAATCGGTGTCCTCGGCTTACCGACCCTCCCGCCTGTTGAACTAGTTTCTCCTTGTTCACCCTATCGAATCCCCTCATAATTTCGAAAACGTCTATTAAGTCGCCTCTTAACCTTCTCTGCTCCAAGTGGAAGTCCCTCATTCCTGGTAAATCTCCTTTGAACTCTTTCCAATGCCTTGACATCCTTCCTAAAGTGTGGTGCCCAGAACTGAACACAGTCTCTAGTTTTTATAAAGGTTCATCATAACTTCCTGATTTTTGTATTCTATGCCACTATTTATAAAGCCTAGGATCTCGTATACTTTTTTACAGCTTTATCTACCTGTCCAGCCATCTTCACCAATTTACTTATATGAACCCCCAGGTTGTACCATCAGCTTATATTTCCTCTCCACATTCTTCCTCCCAAAATGCATCACCTCTCATTTCTCCACATTAAACTTCATCTGCCACATATCTGCCCATTTTACCAGCGTGTGTCCTACCTGCACCTAATACTTTTTGGAATTGGGTCAGCAGGATGCATCCCTCCAGGGAGAGAGTGCGAATTCCATTCAAACAATCTATCTCTGGGATTTCCTTGTGTAAATGGGATACATGGGATTTATCTCAGTTAGGTTTGGATACTCTTAAGCATGGTGATGGGTGTGTCAGACACCCGGCTAACCAAAA